TTACTCTATTAGTCCGTTCTCATGCTGCTATGAAGAAATACACGAGATTGAGTAATGTATAAAGGAAACAGGTTTAATCAACTCACTGTCCTGGATGGCTGGGGAGGCTTCAGGAAACTTACAATCATAGCAGAAAGGGAAATAAACATGTCCTTCTTTACATGATGGCAGGAAAGCCCCTTATAAAACCATCAGATCTCGTGAGAACTCATTCACTGTCACAAGAATAGCAACATGGGGGTAGCTGCCTTCATGATTCAATTACCTGTCACTGGGTAATTGGGATTACCTCACATGACACATAGGGATTATGGGGACTACAGTTCAAGATGAGATTTGGGTGGTGATACAGTCAAACCATTTTAGACTTCCTAGCTTTAGCCACTAGGAATGATTCTGTCAGTGCAGGCACATTTGATGATGTAGTGGCCTTCAATAATTGCTTCTATTCTTTGTAGTCATGTTTTTTTTTTTTCTTCTGAAAACTCCAAAGTCTTTTAATGCAGGGTGCCTGGTGTCCCTGGTACAAATTAGTTTTGAAGGTCTCACGGCTTTGTTAGATAGCGGTCACCACATATACAAAGTGGGCTTGGAGAATGTCAATCGCCAGTTGCAATGAACCCATAATTTAAGTAAGACTCTTGGTATTTTCTTTTAAATGTACCTTTCTTCTTGTTGGCAGTCTTAGAGTCTTCTGCTGTCTCATCATTGTGTCTTTCCCTCTTTTGATGAAGCTCTCCAGTGACATTTGCTTTTTACTCATGTAAGCTAGGATTAGCTTGTGGGCTTACCAAGATTGTGACTGAGACAAGTGCACAGTGTAGGAAAGAGGCATGGATGGAAGGGGGAAATAAAATAATGAGCAGGCCTTACTCAGGCTAAAGTAAGTGTTGGATTCTAGCTAAAGCCTGCCACCAGATGCAACTGTATAATTGAAGTACATCAACTCACTTGCCACTATAAAGACTGCCACTAGATGAAGCTTAATTGTTACTTGTCACTCACTGATAGTGCTTCAATATGAATGTGCAAGCAATTGATTTGTTATGTCCTCTGTGCAGTCAAACCTCTCTGCTAATGTTATTCTGTATTTGCAGCCACTTCCTGGTGCTAGCATTACAACCTCAGCTCCACCTCAGACCACCAGACATTAGATTATCATAGGGAATGTGCAACCTGGATCCCTCACATGCACAGTTCACAATAGGGGTCATGCTCCTATGAAAATCTAATGCTGTAGCTCATCTGACAGGAGACGGAGCTTGTGAGGTAATGCTAGCCATGATGAGTGGCTATAAAAATAGATGAAGCTTCACTTGCTGACCCACTGCTCACCTCCTGCTGTGCAACCCATTCTTAATAGGCCATGGGCTGGGGACCCCTGTCCGTACAGAGTTCTAGGCTGCTGGTTTGATTCTCTCAACACTCTCCATGTTTACATGGTTTCTGAGGCAAAGTTGGATGTAAATCTTACCTTTGTTTCTCTATAAGTAAGGTTTCCTCCCTACTCTGGCTTTTTTCAGGAGTTTATCTTTGCTTTTCTGAGGTTTAACTGTAATATGCCTAGTTGTGTTTTTCTTTTCTTTCAGATTTGTTTTACTTGGTGTTTTCTGACCTTTCTGGATCTATAATATGGTGTCTGATGTTAACTTGGGGAAATAGTTATTGTTGCTTCAAATACAGCACCTGTTCTCTATTTCTTCTCCTACTATTCCCATTACATGTATCTATACCTTTTGTAGTTTTTTTCACAGTTCTTGTACATTGTGTTATGTTTTTTCTTTTTCAGTATTGGAAGTTTCTATTGTCATATCCCCAAGTTCAGGAATTCTTTCCTCAGCTGGGTCTACTTTCCTAATGAGTTCCTCAAAGGCATTCTTCATTTCTGTTAGTGTTCTCAGTCTTCAGCATTTCTTTTTTATTCTTTTCTACAGTTTTTATCTCTGTGCTTACATTATCTCTGTGTTCTTGTATGCTGTCTACATTTTCTATCATAATTGTACTAATTCTAGTTGTCAAAAATTCCTGGTCTGATAATTGTTATTCTTGCCATATCTGACTGTGTGTCTGATGCTTTTCAGTCTCTTCAAACTGAGTTTTTTGCCTTTTTGTGTGCCTTGTAATTTTTGTTGTAAGTCGACACGATGGCCTAGTTAATAAGCATGGTAAATAGAGCTTTAGTAATGCAGTGGTAAAGAGTGCAGGGAAGGGGAAGTATTCTTTAGTCCTATGATTAGGTCTCAGTCTTTTGGTGAATATATTCCTCTGGATTGTGAACTTCAGTTTTCTAAGATTTTTATCTTTCCCTACCCTTAGGTAGGACAGGATGGCAGGAGGGTGATGGAGTTGGTATTTCCACAGGGAAGGCCAAAGAAGCTTGATTTTTGTATTAACTTTCCTCTATGCGGATGGCTGGAGTTGTCTGGAGTTGGGTTATTTCCTTTACCCCAACTAGGTTAAGCTCTGATAAAACCCCAGCACTTCAGGCTCTGGTAAAATAGTTTCTCCTGAGGGCAGGCATAAGCACAGAATGTTCTGGCATATTTTTAATGGTTCCTTTTTCCCTCCTCCTGCCAGAAACAGGAGAGAATTTTTCTCTGATACTCACTGAGGATCTTGTAGAACTCCTGGAGGTAAAACTCACGGAAATATGGAGGCCTCCTGTAGGATGGTATCCCCTTGGAATTTTTAACTCTCAGATTTGTCTACTCCAAGCCTCTAGCAATTTATTAGTTACAGACTATCCTACCCTGGGTCTTCTGCTTATGGGTTTTTGTTTTATTAGGTTATGATCCTCTGTTTCTACCTGTCCTTTTTTCCAGTTTTGGAGGCAGCAGCTTGCCCTGTGACCGCATTTTTCTGACAAATTTTAGAAGACTTGTTGATATTTCAGTTTTTTCAGCTATTTATTTATGGACCAAGTGGCGACTTCTGATCTCTTTACATGCTGGGTTAGAAACTGGAAGTCTTTATTAAGTTTTATAGTTTTGTACCCTAGCCGTCTTCCTGAGTTCCATATCTACCTCTCTAACTGCCTAATGTCCATCTTACTTGTATGTTCGACTGAAATCATAATCATAGACTCTAATTATATTAAGTATATCTGCTTAAATATAACCTACTGTTCTTCTGTATGTTTACTTCTACCCAGAATACAATCTTCCATGTTACTTAGACTCAAAATCTTAAAACCTTGGTTATCTTTAACATTTATTTTCCATTCACATCTTCAACAATCATTTTTAAAAATTCTCTCACTCTGCTTCAAGTTCTTCATTCTGTTCTCAATGCTCTATTTCAGTTTCTTGTTTCTTTTCAGCTAAATTAGAATAATTTCTTTAAATGATATATCCATATTCATTCTCAGTGAATCTTGTTCACTGCTTCTAGCTTTGTCCTATTTTTCTAGCACTCTCTTGTCTTTTTCCTCTTTTCTTGTCCCTTTCATCAGACTTGCTGAGATTCTAGACACTAGACTGAATGCCAGGGAACACAGAGATTCACAAAGCCAAATTCGCAATTCCTGGAATTCTACAAGAAGGGCGCAATTTAGATTTTTAAGTTTTCCCTTTTATTATGCCCTCTTGAAACCTATAAACTTGACATGATACTCTGTATATATACTTTTTGCCTTTTTGAAAATATTCTTTCTAGAATGCCTTTGTTCCTTTTTCCATTCTTGCCAGAATCTCCCTATTTTTCAAAATCTGTCTTAAAAGCTGCCACTCCAGAAAAGCCTTTTTCCTCATTCTCTCAATGTCTTCATGTATCCTACCTCCTCCCAGTACTTTGTACTTAACATGGCCTTTATTTGTCTACCATATTAATTATGTTTTATATTATAATCATCTAAGGGCTTCTCTTGTGCCTCTGATTAAAATTTGAGTTTGTAAAGTGTGAGTTTGCCATCTTTGAAATAGCCTGCACATGATAAATGCTATTTATGTAATAGTTAAATTTCATGCCTACCTTTTGGGAAAGTATCAGTTCTTCAAGGCCTAGTTCAAGTTTACCTCTGTAACACCCTCCTTTAGCTACTGCACATACAACTATCTTAGCACTTAGTTTCCATTGTCTTTTTTTAAATCTTTTTTGTATGTGTGACACATTAAACTGGTGGGACTTTATTTTATTAACTGATTCCCCAAAACCTAGCACAATGCCTAACATATGTGCTTAGTAAATACCTTTTGAAGAAATGGAAAAATAACCTCCTTCTTTGCTTTTACAGTACTTTGTTGATATCTTTTACAGCACTTATCGCATTCTGGTTTGTTTGAAGAATATTTGTATTTCCTCCCTTCCTCTTCCAGGTTTTAATCCTACATGGGGGAGAGAGAATATCTTCCCCTTGAAAAGAGTTTCCTTCAAAGCCTTGGTCATAGAATTAATACTACATTTATTCGTTCAAAAGTTATTTTTTGAGTGCTTACTTTGTGCTAGACATTTTTCTATGCAATAGGGAATATAAGATGGACACCTTTAGATGGACAAGAATTCCTGATTCATGGATCTTACTTTCTAGTTAGAGAAACATTCTATTAATGCATATTGAATTTAGTATTAGCTGAAAATGATTACCTGTGAAGAAATTTTTCTTTTGTTTTTATTTATTTACCTAGAACTTTGACTTTTATGTGATTAATATATATAATGTACTATTTACATGTTGAAATATACTTTTCAACTAAATAATAGCTGTCTTTCATGAAGTTTCTCCTATGTGCTGGGAACCTTATATACTTGATCTTCAAAAAACACTGCAAAGTAGACTTTATAGTTTCTGTTTTAGAGATGAGAAAACCGGGGTTTTGAGGTGGTAAGTAATTTGCTTAAATTATGATACATAACTAGGAAGCAAGAGAGCTGGAATTTAAATCAAGGTGTATCTGTTCATACAGCCTATATGTACTCTTAATATTATACTTCATTTCCAATTTCTTCCCATTTGTTCAAGACAAGCTTTTAAAGTCTTACTTTCTCTTTTTCTTTCCTAATAGCCACAATATGAGAACACTTCACTCCAGACACCATTTTCAGAGAAATCAGTTTCCCATTCCCAACAAGGGGAATTTGAGCAAAAGCGTACATCTACTGAGAAAGAAGTTTTACAGCTTAATGAGTTTCTCAAACAAAAACTAAGCCTATTTAGTGAAGAGAAGAAGAAACTGGAAGAAAAGGTAGGTATTTGTAATAAAGTTGAATTAGGTCAACAACATTTCCTCAACATATTATTTGTCTGTCATTTACCCTGTCAGGTGTCATAACAGGTTATATATACATTTATGTGGAGATGATTAATTTTGTAGTAACTTTTGAGAAACCCTCTACTATCTGCAAAATTCCAAGGATTTTCTTGAAGGATAGAAATGCTCTTGTATATTTTTCTAACAAATAGTAAAATCTTAAAAATCAGTTGCCTACACCAAATAACTGTTCTCCTTTTCCTTATTGAGTCTGTGATTTCATTTTTTTGGTTATGTTGGGCATACAGGGTTGGTAAGTGAAACTGGCCTATTTTCTATAGTGATGCAACTTAAGTTATTAAACTGAAGCTCCTGATTCAGAATAAGAAGCTAAAAGCCAAATACACAGACACGCATACTAACTACATATATGTATTTATACACACACACACACTTGATCTTTCTGCCTTTATTAAAACTACTCTTATGTATTTCATCTTATTCCATTTTAGTATCATTCAAGATTAAGTAGGACATATGCTAGCCCTAATATATTGAAGAGGTACAGATCCATTAGCTGCATAGTGGCAGAACTGGTTTTAGACTTCTCTTTTAATCTACTCAGCTTACTATTCTATTGAGCCTCCCATTCAAGTGGTCATAGAGCTGACCACCATGATTTTTCTTTTATTTTTCCTTGTTCATCAGTGCTTACTTTATTTTAAAATTTTATTTCCATAGTTTTTGGGGAACAGGTGGTTAGAGTTACACAAATAAGTTCTTCAGTGGTTATTTCTGAGATTTTGGTGTACCTGACACCTAAGCAGTGTACACTGTACCCAGTGTGTAGTCTTTTATCTCACACCCTTCCCCCCATGTTTCCAAAATCCATTATTTTATTGTTGTGCGTTTGCATTCTCATAGCTTAGCTCCCACTTAAAAGTGAGAACATAGGATGTTTGGCTTTCCATTTCTGAGTTACTTCACTTAGAATAATGGTCTCCAACTCCATCCAGATTGCTGTGAATGACATTATTTTGTTCCTTTTTATGGCTGAGTAGTATTTCATGGTGTTTACACGCACACAAATACACGCCACATTTTCTTAATAATTCATTGATTAATTTGCATTTAGGCTGGTTCCATATTTTTACCATTGCAAACTGAGGTGCTATAAATATGCATGTGCAAGTGCTTCAATTCCTCTGGACAGATACCTAGTAGTGAGATTGCTGAATCAAATGGTAGTTCTACTTTTAGTTGTTTAAGGAGTCTCCACACTGTTTTCCATAGTTGTACTAGTTTATATGCCCACCAGCAGTGTAAAAGCATTCCTATTTCATGCCAACATCTATTTTTTTTTTAATTTTTAAATTATGGCTAATTCTTTCAGGAGTAAGATGGTATCTCATTGTGTTTTTAATTTGAATATCTCTGATTATTAGTGATGTTGAACATTTTTTTCATGTTTTTTTGTCATTTGTATATCTTTGAGAATTTTGTATTTATGTCCTTAGCCTACTTTTTGATGGAATTTATTTTTTTTTGTGCTTATTTGTATGAGTTCCTTGTAGATTCTGGATATTAGTCCTTTGTAGAATGCATAGTTTGTGAATATTTTCTCCCACTTTATGGGCTGTCTGTTTACTCTGATGATTATTTCTTTTGCTGTGCAGAAGCCTTTTAGTTTAATTAGACCTCATCTATTTTTATTTTCGTTGATTTGCTTTTGGGTTCTTGGTTATGAACTCTTTGCCTAAGCTAGTGTCTGGAAGAGTTTTTTCAATGTTGTTATATCTTCTAGAATAGTTAGATTTACATCTTTGATCCATCTTGAGTTGATTTTTGTATAAAGTGAGAGATGAGGACCCAACTTCATTATTCTTGAATGGTGGTGGCTTGCCAAGTATCCCAGCACCATTTATTAATAGGATATCTTTTTCCCACTTTATGTTTTTGTTTGCTTTTTCAAAGATCAGTTAGGTGTAAGTATTTGGGTTTATTTCTGGGCTCTCTTTTCTGTTCCATTGATCTAATATGCCTATTTTTGTATCAGTACCATGCTGTTTTGGTAACTATTGCCTTCTAGTATAATTTGAAGTCAGACAATGTGATGCCTACAGATTTGTTCTTTTTGCTTAGTATTACTTTGGCTACGCAGACTCTTTTTTGGTTCCATATAAATTTTAGGATTTTTTTTCTAGTTCTGTGAAGAATGATGATGGTACTTTGATGGGAAATGCATAGAATCTATGGATTACTTTTTGGCAATATGGTCATTTTCAGAATATTGATTCTGCCCATCCATGAACAATGGGCATGACGTGTGTTTCCATTTATGTCATTGATGATTTCTTTCAGCAGTGTTTTGTAGTTTTTCTTGTAGAGATCTTGCACCTCCTTGGTTAGGTATATTCCTAAATATTTTATTTTTTTGCAGCTGTTGTAAAAGGGATTGAGTATTTGATTGGATTTTTAGCTTGGCTGCTGTTGGTGTATAGCAGAGCTACTGATTTGTTTATGTTAATTTTGTATCTTGAAACTTTACTGAATTCATTTATCAGATCTAGGAGCTTTTTGGATGAGTCTTAGGGTTTTCTAGGTATATGATCATATCATTGGCGAACAGCGACAGTTTGACTTACTCTTTACCAATTTGGGTGCTCTTTATTTCTATCTCTTGGTACGATTGTTCTGGCTAGGACTTCTGGTACTATGCTGAATAGCAGTGGTGAAAGTAGGCATCTTTTTCTTTTTCCGTTTCTCAGGAGCAGTGCTTTCAACTTTTCCCCGTTCAGTATAATGTTGGCTGTGGGTTTGTCATAGATGCTTTTATTACCTTGAGATATGTTCCTTTCATGATGATTTTGCTGAGGGTTTTGATCATTAAAGGGATGCTAGATTTTGTAAAATGCTTTTTCTGCATCTATTTAGATGATCATAATGAATTTTGTTTTTAATTCTATTTATGTGATGTATCACATTTATTGACTTGAGTATATTAAACCATCCCTGCATCCCTGGTAAGAAACCCACTAGATCAGGGTGTATTATCTTTTTGATATGCTGTTAGATTTGGTTAGCAAGTATTTTGTTGAGGATTTTTGCATCTATGCTCATCAGAGATAATGGTCTGTAGTTTTCTTTTTTTGTTATGTCCTTTTCTGGTTTTGGTACTAAGGTGATACTGGCTTCATAGAATAATTTAGAGAGGATTCCCTCTATCTTTTGGAATGGTTTCAGTAAGATTGGTACCAAGTCTTCCTTGAATGTGTCTCATAGAATTAAGCTGTGAATCCATCTGATCCTGGATTGTTTTTGTGTTGACAAACTTTTTATTACTCTTTCAATCTCACTACTTGTTATTGGTCTGTTCAGAGTTTCTGTTTCTCCCTAGTTTAATCTAGGAGGGTTGTATGTTTCCATGAGTTTATCCATCTCCTCTAGATTTTCTCGTTTGTATGTGCAAAGGTATTCATAATAGCCTTGAATGATCTTTTGTATTTCTGTGGTATCGGTGGTAATATCTCCCGTTTTGTTTCTAATTTTGCTTATTTGGATCTTATCTCTTTTTTTCTTGGTTAATCAATTTTGGTTTCATTAATGGTCTATCAATTTTGTTTATCTTTTCAGAGAACCAGCTGTTGTTTTATTTATATTTTTTATTTTTTTGTTTCAGTTGCCTTTAGTTCTGCTCTGATCTTTTTTCTTTTCTTCTGTTAGGGTTGGGCTTGGTTTGTTCTTGTTTCTGTAGTTACTGGAGGTGTAACCTTAGATTGTCTGTTTGTGCTCCTTCAGACTTTTTAATGTAAGCGTTCAATGTTACGAACTTTGCTCTTAGCATCATTTTTGCTGTATCCTAGAGGTTTTGATAGGTTGTGTCACTTTTATCATTCAGTTTAAAGAATTTTTAAGTTTCCATCTTGATTTCATTGTTGACCCAATGATCATTCAGGAGCAGGTTATTTAACTTTTCATGTATTTGCATGGTTTTGAGGGTTTCTTTCAGAGCCGATTTCTAGTTTTATTCCACTGTGGTCTGATAGAGTTCTTGATATAATTTCTGTTTTCTTATATTTATTGAGACTTGTTTTGTGGCCTATCACATGGTCTGTTTAGGAGAATGTTTTATGCACTGATTAATAGAATGTATAGTCTGCAGTTTTTAGGTAGAATGTTCTGTAAATATCTGTTAAGTCCATGTCTTCTAGGGTAAGGTTTAAGTCCATTGTTTCTTTGTTAACATTCTTTCTCCATGACCTGCTTAGTGCTATCAGTGGAGTTCTGAAATCCCCCACTATAATTGTGTTGCTATCTGTGTCATTTCTTAGGTCTAGTAGCAATTGTTTTATAAATTTGGGAGCTCCAGTGTTAGGTGCATATATATTTAAGACTGTAATATTTTCCTGGTGCACTAGTTTTTATCAGTGTATAATGTCCCTCTGTCTTTTTTTAACTGTTGTTGCTATAAAGTCCTTTTTTTCCTCATGTAAGAATAGCTACTCCTGTTCACTTTTGGTGCCCATTTGCATGGAATATCTTTTTCCATCCCTTTACCTTAAGTTTCTGTGAGTCTTTATATGTTAAGTGAGTCTTTTGAAGACAGCAGATGCTTGGTTGGTGAATTCTTACCCATTCTGCCATTCTTATCTTTTAATTTGAGCATTTAGGCCATTTACATTCATTAGTACTGAAAAGGGAGGTATTATTCTATTTCTTATGTTTGTTGTTGCCTGAATACTTTGTGTTTGTTTGTTGGTTTTCAGTGTGTTATTGTTTTATGGGTCCTGTGAGATTTATGCTTTAAGGAGGTTCTGATTTGGTGTATTTCAAGGTTTTGTTTTGGTTTTGAGACCGAATCTCACTCTATCACCCAGGCTGGAGTGTAGTGGCGCTATCTCAGCTCACTGCAACCTCTGTCTCCTGGGTTCAAGTATTTCTCATTCCTCAGCCTCCCTAGTAGCTGGGACTACAGTTGCGTGCCACCCCACCAG